CCCCCCCACCGCACCGCCGCCACCACTTCGAGCACCCCTCTTCACAATCACCACCCAATACAGTGTAATTCTATTATGCTCCCTTCAGTTGCCAAACAAAACCTTATTATGAGGGTCTAACAAGATGTGTGGCAGCTTCAGTGCCACACAAGATAATTGTTGTAAGAAAAATAAATAAATAAATAAATAAATAAAAAAGACATCTTTTTTGAACATCTTGAGTGATGTGTTCACAGGCTGTTCGACCACCGGATAAAGCCGCAGAACAAACGTGTCTGAAAAAGCAACCGCTGCCTGATTAAAACCGACCAGTAAATGTCAGGATGCTTGATGCTTCAATATTATTCCTATAAAAACACGTAGCGGAGGGAGTAGGTGCGAAAGAATACAATTACAATTTTACAATCCAGCCTCAAATATGAGCTGCCAAGCATTTATATCTATCTATAAAAAATCTATAAAGACAGCCGTATCAGCGGTGCACTTGATCTCTGATGATGAGAAGAAATGGGAGTTTTATGGGTCGTATTGATTACATTTGGACTCAAGCCTGAGGCTGTAAGTATGCTTTGCTTTGCTTTGTGCTGCCTATTTTTTTTAATTGGCCATTTACTTTAATCACCTTGTAAACCTTACCTGAGAGTCAAAATTGAACCTCTAAGCGTCTCCAATTATGACGAGAAGTTCCCGTGAGGATTTCTGTGTTTACAATGTGTTCGTAAATGTGTCTTGATTTTGATCAGGTTATGTTTGCACTTTAAAATCTAATGTTTTTTTTGTAATAATCAACACAGACTGAGATCCTTGATATCCAGCATGCCTTCTTCAAAATGTTTATTGTGGTCGGAATTAATCATCTATGAACACCAAGTAAGAAGTAATTTCTCAGTTCTGTGCCATATATAATGTAAAGTAAAAATAGGATTAGTAATTGTTTTACATGCATTTCCCCAGACTTCTGTACAATTAATCAAATGTGGAACAATAATTACATTATATAGTACAAATACTGCTTTACCATTGAATAACTTCTTAACTCTATACAGTACTGCAATCGATTTTGCCATTTTTGTTCTTAAGTAATTTATTTGAGGTCTCCATGTCAGTTTTTCGTCAATGATGACTTCCAAAATCTTCACCTCACTGACTCTGCAAATTTCAACCCCACCCACTCTAAATGGAACATCAGTTGTTTTCTTTCTATTACTAAATGTCATGTAATTAGTTTAATCCAAATTTAATAATAACTTATTATGATTAAACCAATCTTGTACTTTTACAGATTCTATTTCCATCATTTCCAACATCTGTTTTTTGTTCTTACCCAGGTAAAAACATGTAGTGCTGTCTGCAAATAAAACACATCTATACAACCCAGACACATTTATCAAGTCATTAATATATAGAAGAAACAACTTTGGTCCCAGTATAGAACTTGTGGAACCCCACATACAATATTACAAAGTTCAGAACTTACATCATTAATTTGCACAAACTATTTCCTATTAGTTAAATAACTTGATATCCACTTTAGTACCAGACCTCTTATGCAATATTTGTTTAATTTCTCTACAATGATACTGTGGTCAATGGTATCAAATGCTTTTCTTAAACAAAAACACTGACATGGTACTGTTTTTGACCAACAGCTGTTGTAATGTGTTCACTAAGGTCCATGAGAGCCACTGATGTTGAGTTGTTAGCTCTAAAACCATACAGATTTTTACCTAAAATATTTTGTTTATCAATGAACTGAATTAATCTGGTGACAAATAACTTCCAAAATTTTTGAAAACTGTGGTAACAATAATTTTGGTCTTTATAGTTTGTAAACGTGTTTCTCACCACACTTTTAGAGAAGGATTACTTTGGCTATTTTTATGTTGCCTTTAAAGTTTTCATATGTTGTCATTTTTTGTTTATTTTAGTTTAGTTTAGTTTAGTTTAGTTTAGTTTAGTTTAGTTTAGTTTAGTTTAGTTTAGTTTAGTTTAGTTTAGTTTATTCATTCATTCAT